CTTGCAGTCCCTTCAATTCACTTAAATTTTTGTACATGTACTTACTTATAAATGTTAAAACTAAAATACTTTTGACATCGTGAGAGTTAATTATTTAGGAAATGAATAGTACTGAATAACCGCACCGTACTGAAAATTGGTACATAACGGGACAAGTTCTATATATATATATATATATTCGGGACGGTACCGGTTCTTTTATTTTTAAAAGAACCATACTTTGGGACGGAACAAGTTTTTCAAAATAATCGTTTCGTACCATCCCATGCTCACCCCTACTCTCGAACGCATACCAAATCTTCCCAAGAAATTCTCCAACGCCGATGTTGGGCTCAAATTTCTGACTTTAACTATAAAAACAACCAACGCAACCCAAAAACCCGATAAGTTGTGACTTGAGCTAATTAGACGCTTTGTGACGCATTTAAGCTGGGAAAACTAATAAAAATCAATCTTAACACACATCAAATGTGTGGTGAAATATGAACTTAACACTACTTCTTGTTAAGAATTGATGCCACAATAACTGGAGTGAGGTAGGGATTTTTCCAGGAGTCCGCCAGTCCGGTGAAAATGCCAGTCATCAAGGAAGTTGTTTGCAACCTCGGGTGAAAAAGAAAGTTTGTACTTGAAGAAGACACAGAGTGCTTCTTTAGTGACACGAGGAAACCTTGAAATTTTTATATTACTCGAAGCTTTGTGGAAAGTGGACTAAAGTAACAAGTTATTCCTTGAATTAATTGAAAAATCTTTGGTGTCATTTACTTTATAACACATTACTTTATCACACTAGGAAACAAACTCTCAAGAGTGCGAACTCTCGCACTTACAAATTTAACTCAAAGACTTTCAGGGCAAATATGCCTTAACAGTGTTTTCCATGCCAGGCTCACCGTGACAAAACCTCATCATCCAGCTACGACACTAAGTCTAACCAGATTTAGTGTAATTATTTAGAGAGGCAAATTTCATCTGTTGGAAAGATTTCCAAAACACTCTATTCACCCCCCTCCAGACTGTTATTGTGCCTATTCAACTTGGACCAACAAGTTATATCAAATCATACTTGTTCTTTTAACCTTTTACGTTATCTTTTGAGCAAAGATCTACTTGTTTTCATTCTTTTTGTTGATTATTCTATTACTTACCATGAATAACACTCTTGCCAAGAACTTAATGTTTTCAGTCTAGAAATTCAATGACTGGAAGATGAGAATGCAAACACATCTGTCTGCACTACATGATGAGATGTGGGATATTCTCAAGTTGGACCTGTAGAGGTCATGAAGGTCAATCATGATTATGTACCTAACCAACCCATGCCAAAAATGATTCCTAATCCAAGAGCATAACAGTCAATTGAGGACTGAAAAAATAACCTTGACAACATTCCCAAGGACAATTTGTACAAGGTCATTGCTGGCTACTACCTCATCATGATCAAGTTCCAGAACCCCAAACCAACAAATAATGAGCTGATATGCTACAACTACCGTCAGACAATTAAGACACTTCAAAGCTAGTTGCCTCTACCCCATCGTGTCCAAGAGACAAGGACAAGATACTAAGAAGAAGTATGATCGCCGAAAGAAGAAATGTGTTGATCACTAAGCAACCAGAGAAGGACCCATTTTCTTAAAATATTTCTCCCCTAATAGAATAAGAGACTGAGAATATTGAGCTAAACAATAATACATTCTACATGGCTCAAGCCTCTACGGAAAAGATGGTATCAACTCAAGTGATTAATTTTAAAAATGGTATTAGCTTTGATTTAGCAGATCCTGTTAAGTCTTCTTTGAAGCTTGTCACCCGAGCTGTAGACTATTATAGAGTTAAAAACTTACGGATTTCTAATTCCTTGGTATATGTATCAAGGATGATCATGAGAGAGTTATTCTAGAAAAGGAAAAGATAAAAGAGTTTTCAAATCTTAAGCAAATGTTAAGGGGGGATAATAGACAATGCCATAATTAGCATACCAGACATGACCACCTGGGAGACAAACTACATGAGAATGTCTATCACATATCAAGAGGGAAATCTTGAGTACCTTCAAGATCCAGAGATATCATTTAATGCTCTTGTGTTCCGTTAGTGGGCTCTTCAACGTCAGCTTGTCTATTAGTTTTACTTAATTTATTTTTAATCTAACATACATTGTTATGTATAGCCTTCTCTACTCTCATATGGCGATCTTTTTCTTAGTGGTCTCTGCTGGGCCAAATCTGTTTCATACAGATTTGCCTTGTGAACTATGCTTGTGGCATACTTAGGCATTTCTTGTTGTGGCATACTTAGGCTAATACATTTGAAACACTTTAGGGGGTACTTTAAGTTCCTAATTACACAACATTATCAAAAACTAAATATAATTTATTTCTAACAGAAGGAAGTGTCATTTATATGCTAGATATTTCACATTAAAACCCTAAATTTCATACCATTCCTTAGTCTAATGGAGTCATTCCTTAGTCTACTCGAAATTGTCGATAGTACACTGCTTCAATTAACTCTTTATGTGTTCACGTATTTCGAGTTCTGATGAATGAGGCATATATGTTTCCGAGTTTCAGCATGAAAGGCAGGATGAGACATGCAACAATACTGTCTTGTAGGCATGAGCGGGAATAATATTTTTCATAATGAGGCCTTTAAAAGTGGGCTCTTATCCACTTGCACCCACTCCACCTAGGTTAGTCCAGGGCTGTGAAGTAGTATGATTTGTAGTAAAATTAATGGAAACGTGCTCATGGAGTGCTAACTTAGATACATAAATCTAATTAAATTGAAATTAGGCACATCAAGTACATTATGTAAAGTAAGATTATCACTAAGTTCAATATTTCATATATGAGTGGCAGGTATAAAGTTTCTTGTAGGTAGTTGGATATTAATGGATATAGGTTGAGGTATAGATGCATTAAGGCAAGTATCTAGAGTCCAACTATTGCTCTGAGTTTGTATGAACTTTGAAAACTAGTTATAAAGCTCGGGATTAGAGAAATCCATGTCATTAGAAACAGTGTCATTAAGACCATTTACCAACTGATCTTGGGTTTTGATTGAAGGTTGAGAGAGTTTAAAACTATGAGCGGAATGATGTCCTTTAGGTCCTTTCCAATGACTATGATACCAAATGAGTTGAACTAAAATCATTTTTCAGCCACACGAACTTGATAACTACAATGAGTGCCAGTGCTAGTGCTTTACTTTTTGGAAGAATGAACTTGTAATAGGAAGGCAATAGAATCGAGCATGATTATCAAGATTAGAACTAAGGACCGTCTAATAATTCTGAGTGACCCTGTCTAGAATATTAATTTGAGGCCCCATATTATGAGAAGTATAAAATTACATTATACATAGAACCCGTTAACATGCTCATTGATTCTATTAGAAATGCTATTAGTCGATTGATAAGGAAAAGCATTAATATCATTGGGGTGTTCTAAAGATCTTTAAGATTCTTCTTGATGCAAGAAAGAATAGACCTTAGAATAGGAATTTGGAGAAACATTAGATGAGTCTGTATTCCTAATACACAATCTTTTTGGACTAATTCCTAGTACATTTCATTCATATCACAAGTGCACCGATCACCACTACATGTACGAATGAGTGTATATTTACATTACTCATCCCAAAGTCTTTTGAACAAATTAAAATAGGTAGTGATGGCCATAGATCCTTGAAAAATATCACTTGAAGTTTTCTCATGGTAAAAACACATGGTCCATCACTTCTCCGTATCTAAGTTTGATTTCATCCATAAGTCTTTAGCACTTGTGAATTAAAGAAACATATTACGAATTTCCCGATAGATCGAGTATACAAACCAAGACAAAAGAAATGCATCGATACGATACCAAGATGAGTATTGTAGTGGATCACATTGGAAGGCGGCGAGTTAGATTGATCCATTCAGGAAGGCCATGTTGTTATCCACTGTGAACGTCATGACCACCGATTTCTTCCAAGCATTGAAATTGTCACCATTGATCCTTATGCTAGAGTGATCATTGGGATGTAAGTAGTACGATGAGGATAGATCTTCTGTAGGGTTTAAAGGAAAAATTGAATGATTTGGGTCCATTTAGAATGAGAAAGAATATATATAATAAAAAAAATGTAATTCGATGAGAGGATTGTTTTTAGGCTAAATTTAAAAAAAAATCATGAAGATGATAATTTCAGAATGGAAATAATCTTAACGGTTATTGTTTGAAGCACAAAATGAAAATGAAGGGTGATAAACCATGTGACTTTCTAATTTAACTAAAGACAAGAAGGTGATACTACTAAAATTACATAATAACTACACAAGATAAGTATTTAGAATATGAACCTAAATAAAAAAAAATCTATTTCAGATAAGTCGAGGAGCTTTATTCTTGATAACTTTCTTATCAAGGATGTATTTAATTTACACTAAGGGTTGTTTGGTAGTTTACACGTTAAATCTTTACAGACGAAATGATTACACACAAAGTTTAGGGAAACAATAAGTTTGCATGTAAAATAGATTACATTGTTTGGTTAGATATATAATTTATTTTTAATTTGCAAGCAAAGGCATTGAGTGCTTTATAAAAAGTATGCAAAGTATTTTATCACCCTCCCCCCATTTAAAATACTTTACATGGTACATTGCAAATTCTTTTTAAAAGTGCCCTACAATTTACATTAAATAATCAAACCAAACAGTGTAAACTTTTTACGTCCCTATATTTCGCATGCAAAGTAACGATTTTACATCTTACCAAACACCCTCTAAGACTATGGTGGATTGAATTCCGATGTAGCCTGTTTTTTTTAAGTTTTGGTGTAAATTTTCAATTTTCCCATTTAGCACATCCCATTATTGTGTATAATTATTCTTTTGCCCACTTTAATTTAGTATCTTTTCACTCTTGTTTCTTATATTATTGACATAATGTTCTCATTTCAAGCATTTAAACAGCTAAGGTGTTCAATAAAAACCCTAACGAAAACATGACCTTGAATAACAAAATAAAATGAGAAAGTTATACATCAGTTAAAAAAGAATGTGACCATGATCTATATATATTGGGATCAAATACAAACTCCTCATAATTTACAAACTACAAACTCATCTTGGTCATCCGCCAAATTGATCTAAGAGCTAGAAATGCACGGTGGCATTTTGGTAATAAAACCAAACTTTTTTAGATGCGACACTTTCAAGTTTCAACGTTAATATGCAACTGTTTATTTCATCGCAGAATAATATGCATCACTTTTAACATCAATATGCAATACACATATCGTAAAAATGCATTGTACAATACCACAATAAGCACAATCTTTATCAGATCTGCTCCTGTATGTATATATGAAAGTCTTGAATGCATTGATGCATGTACACATATTAATTTCCTCCAAGTTGTGAGGTTTGTTGAGGAAATTAAGAAATGCAAGAAGAGGTGACCACATACACTTCGATCATCGATTAGCTTGATAGTCTTTCAACAAGAAATGGCTTAAACGTGAGCAATACTCCAATACCATCAATTACATTGAGAACAAAGAATGTCATTTGATTGCCTACATACAATAAAGTTTTTTAAACAAGTTAAAGTTAATTGTCAAAGTTCATCCAATGTACGTTATAACATAATAATAAAATACGGAGTATGATAAACGGATCGACAAACACAAAGGAGAGGCCATAATGGCTTGCTCGAAAAAGTACTCTTTCAATTGAAGATTTAGAAGATAGTTACTATCAATTAAAAAACTGAAAGACAAAGATTGTCGATTTAAAATCCAAATGGTTGAAATTTTTTTCTTTAGGACTTGAATTATTTAAAATTATCTCTCCAAGACTTATATGATCATAAATTTAGAAATACAAAATTCAATTCTTAACTGATTTAATATTTATTTATTATGTAACAAAAAAAATATTTATTTATTTTGTATACACACACGCATTTATTTTGGTCCAAAAAATATTTTATGACTTAAAAATATTTATATATATAGAGTTTGGTTCAAATAAAAAAATATTTATTTATTTTGTATACACACACACTCATTTATTTTGGTCCAAAAAATATTTTGTGACTTAAAAATAATTTTATATATAGAGTTTGGTTCAAATAAAAAGTGCTTCCTATGTGAAAAATAAGAACTAATCTTAGTCATTAATGTGAAAAAGTAGATGTAAGAGATCAAACTTTAAGTTAAACACATGATGGCATATTGGTAATTATGAAGAACTTTTATTGAAAATATGGTAACAAATGGGTACCAGAATATACAAAAAGTGTACATGCGAAGCACAAAATTGCATTACAATACAAAACAAAACAAAATAAAAGTTGCACAATTTAGGAAAATTTGACCATCTTTTTTAATACTCAGGAGTAGACTTTTATCTATTAATTATTCACTTTGTACTATAAACATTTGCACATTTTTGACACCGTGTCTTGTGATTAAAGTTAATCTAATCCATCTATTTGCAAGTAATTAACGGTTTAGATTTGTTCTCACTTTTTATGGTAAGACTATTTTTTACTTGAACTCACCCCTTCAAATGCATGTCGCTAAAGCACAAAAATATTATATCGAGTTCATAGAAAGAACAAACTCGGTTTGTATAGGATCAAATATGGAATAAAAATGTGATAAAGATTGCTTCAATTACCTGGAAGGAACGTTGCATCTTGACGCTTTTCTGACCAAGAAAACCTAAGAACAAAAACATGCAAGCATATAGATGTAAGGAAATCCAAGCACAATATGATCAGTACAAAATAAGAAAATATATTTAAAAATGACTGCTTCAGAGAAATTTCATATAATGGAGAAAGGAAAACTCACAATGTTCCTGCTCCTGCAGGACCTAAAGCTTTGAATATTGACATCCCAGCCATCGCAATGCCATTGGCTACTCCTCTTTGATCTTGGTCCTACCACCCATTATTATTACAAATTAGGTTAAGCCGTATGACTATGTTCAATTCGAGTATGGCTCGATTCGGTAAGAATGGTGTTCGGATTCAAGTTCAAAAAGCTTTACATATGAAGCTCGAGTTTTGCTCTACAATAGTTAAATAAAATGTTTGATTTCATTGTTAAATAAGAACAATAAAAATGCTCGTATAGATGATTCTAGTTTGTGCTTATTAATATATTCTAGGGCTCGAACTATTACATAAGTAATCAACTTGAGTTAATAGTCATATTTAAATTCTGCAAATTATACTAAAGACTTGAAATTTTAATAACGTATAAATAACATCCTCATGTACTTTGTTCAATAGTTTTGAGTTCAAACCGAATCAAATACTGTTATATTCGAGCTCGGCTCAGAAGTTATTCGAACTTTGAACCCGACTAGTAGTAGAGTCTGATGCTCTTTAAGCACGACTCCTAAGGTTTCAAAATCGAACTCAAGCTTGAAGGGTTAAAGAAAATATCAATTTGTTACCCGCGTGGTCGTGTGTGATAAGAGAAAAAAGAACAATGAGCGGTGCCAACGGTGGGTAGTCAGCTTCACAACTAATAAAGATACACTTATCCGAAAGAGAAATTACCACTGCATTATTCTGCAGAATGTAGAGCCCGGTTAGAACTGATACCTGTAATAACACAATAAAAAGTTGAGATGGTTAATAAAGTTTCCAAAGAAAATCAAACAATTCCATGCCCTTTTTCCTCTTTTACAATTACAATTCACCCATCATATTTTTCTAGGAGGAAAAGAGCTAGCCATGCGTCTTAAAAATTTATATTAATTAATACAACATACTGTAATACCTAGATTACACTTACAGATAACATGTTCATCAGGAGGGATGCACAATTTAACACTAGGGTGAGGATAATCCCTGATAACATTGCAATGTAAGGGTAGCTCGCTAGCAGGGGAATTGCCAAAATCTGTACGCATTAATCTTAAATGAGAATGAACGTTTCTAAAGGAAATTTGATCTACAAGTGATATTAGTTTTATATATGATCTTAAATAGTTTATTCATTCATACTTACTCCGGCGATTCGCGACACCATTAATGAGCCAATTGTTCTTTCCATAAAGGGATACACAATAAATTGAAGGGCTAGAAGTCCGAACCCTATAAAGCACATAACAATTGCATTCAAATTTAAATTGAAGAGATAAATTAACAAACCTTTGCATTGTTGAACTATTTGTCCTGCACTAGGTGACTATAGTGCAAAATCTTTTAGCAGACCAGTTTAGGAATTCAAGTTGAACTAGGCCGAGGATTGATTTTACTAGACTTAAAGTCCCCCATAATTGTTGTTAGATTCATCCTGCCTTTTGGAATAAAATCTTAAGGAGGCTAGGTTTTTAGGATAGGAACCCAACATTTTTAAGTATATGAGCATTATTGCAATATATCAAAGGTCTAAGTTGAGTAAAAGACATTAGTTTGTCAACTTTAGCAATGTAGACGGTTATGTACCAGAGATTGCTAAGACGACTGCAACATCATCTGAAGAATAACTCAAGCCTCCAAGTCTTCGGGGACTCTCAGCCCACAATGAGAATATCTATAGAAACAAAGAAAATCATATAATAGAAGGTCATGACTTTGTTCCCTTAAAATTTTTTGACCTTTTGGTCTTGTCCGATAAAACTTGGCCTATGACTAAAATAAGTCTTAGATTAATAAAATTAAAATGCAATGCATCTACTATATCTACCTCGGTATAAGCCATTTCATGAAGGGAAAAGACACAATATATAATAATAGATGACATTAAGGGCCAATTATTGAAAATGCTCTTCTTGGAATCCTTGGATCCTCCATCATTTTTAGAGGTTTTAGAAGCAGCCTCTAAAGCCTTGTACGAGTTGCGAGATGAAACACTCACAGAGTCATGTTTATGCAGAGTTTCCTGCAAATACATGGGGGTTGTGTGAAAACCATATAATAAATCTCATACAAAAAGTTGTTACATTTCAACCATTTTGAAAATAAGTTAAGGACAAGGTCTAACATTTAAGTTTGAAGTTTTAGAGTATGCAACAAGGACCTACCGGTAGCCAAAATGTGATGATGGTCACAAATAATGCAAACACGGAAATGCACAAGCAAGGCAAAAGGTAGGGGAATCTGCATAACATAGATATTTATACACACTGTACTCGTTTATACTCGATGAGCATGCAAAATTTGAAGTAAAAACAAGAAAGTAGATTTACCTTCCGAATAATGAGTCGATTGAGAACAATGAAGGATACTTTTCTGCAGGCTTTGTTAGGATGTATACATATAAGTTATATTTACATTTGTTAAAGATTCAAACTTACCTATAAAGCCAGGGGTCATGACCTTGAATAGCCCCAATTCTTAATAAGAAAGTACTCTATCAATAAATAATTACTTCTAATAGTTCATTCATCATTGTGTGTTGACTGAGATGAGAAACGTTTAAGAAAAATATATTAGTACACGAAATTTGTGCACACTTGGCATACATTTGTATGCAATTATTTGTTCACACAGGCAGTGTATCCACCTCCTAGTTGTTTGTGTACACACACAAAAATATGTACAAATGTGTGCCAAGTGTGTACAAATTTTGTGTACACCAGGAATTGTAGGAAATTTAAACCTTTTGACTATTGTTTACAAATGACATGGATAAAACCGAAGACGTGGATAAAATACACTGTTAAACTCAGGCTGCTTTTTCTTTTAAAAAATGATGGCCCAAGGTAATTACCTTGGGCCCTCATTTTTCATTACCTAGCTATATGAGATTCTCCTTTAAAGCTAATGTAAAAACATCATGGAGTTGATGCATGCATGTCAAGACACTCTTAACAAAGAAAGCTAGGGTTCTGTGACATTTGTGGTTTTTAAAAGATAATAGTATGAGTTTGAAGGGATGTTTGTGATTACTTCTATTTTAAAAAGTGAATCTTTAAAGTGATTTCAGAGAAAATGTTTATAGCAAAAGTTAATAGTGTTTAAGAAAAAGATGATTTTGAAAAAGTAAAAGTTGGAAGTGTTTGGTAAGAAAAGTACTTTTTGTGTATTACAAAAACTAAAGAGCAGTTTAAAACACCCTTTGACATGCTACCAGCCGCTTTTAACTTCAAATATTTGGTTCAAACAAAGATGTCACTTGAAAATACAAATTTCAACTTAAAGACAAAAACGGAAAAACACTTATTTAGGCAATGTTTGAATACACTTAAAAGAGTGTTTTTTCAGCTTTTGGCTTAAAGAAAGGTGAAATGAGTGTTTTTAAGTGATACTTGTATTTAAATTAAACACTTAAAAATTTAAAACTGGAAGCAAATTGAGAGTTGTTTTAGAGCCTGTACGGTAGTCCCAAATTTCAGCTTACCTAGCTTACTATTCAACCTTTTTAGCGGCTACCTGAAAAATTGGTCCTATAACAGATTGGAACTGAAAAATTCCATTTGCATTCTCTATGATGTGAACTTCTATGGTGGCTACATCCGCATAATTGAAAGGGGACGTGAGTCGCTATTTATACCTTAAGGACGAAACGGGTTGGGGTTTAATTTTTTTTAGCAGGTATATCAAAAGCAATTTCTCAAATGTTGGAATTAGATCACAACCAACCACCACAAGCGATTGAGCAAGATACAGTTGAGTTGATTACAACAGGTTCCAATATCTCTGAGTGGGATTATACACCTTGCATTTCTTGGCTGGATAGGGATACATGACTAATATAAGGAGGGATCATTAGTATTTCCAGTTGGGTTTTTGTTTATTTTTGTTCTCTCTCTTGTTTTTCTTTTCTTTTTTCTTCCTCAGCACTCTTTCGTGTACTCTTTTTTGCTTCTTCATTACTAATATTCTCTGTTCTAAATTTAAAAAAAGTCAACATTTTTAGCAAATACATAACTTTTGATTTCGCGCGCTAAATTGTGTAATAATCAAAATAAAGAAGTTTAGAGCTACTTTTCTAATTGAATTGGCTAAAGTTACTGTAAAGCATGATTTTAAGTATCTTTCATTTTTTTGATATATTTTTTTCTTTATTATTTTATTTTACAAAATATATTTCTCCGTCTGGCTAAATTGGGAGAATCTGCAGAATTATGAAAATATATCCGTCTAGAAATACTTTTCTAATCGCAGACTATTTTTTTTTGGCTATGAATCTTGTTCATGGACAAAACAGACATGTTTTTGTTTATGAAAATTCTCACAGACAAAAACATGTTTGTTTTGTCTATGAACGAGATTCACAATGCAAACAAACAAACAAAACGACTTCTGTTAAGACACGAGGTTTCATCCTAAAAGGTCAACCTGATAGGAGAAGTAACTAATGTCTTAATATAGCACTTTGTTGATTCAACCTTTTCCGGTGTGGGATTTAACACCCCTCCTCACGACCAGACACTTCGTCTGGATCGTGCCGTCATTCATTTTTTCGTCGGTTCGTCATTGCCATTTTTTATAATCGTGTCGTCATTTTTCATAAGGGGGCCCACACCATGGATCGATTTGGCTCTGATACCATGTTAAGACACGTGGTTCCATCCTAAGAGGTTAACGTGATAGGAGGAGTAACTCATGTCTTAATATAGCAGTTTGTTGATTCAACCTTTTCCGGTGTGTGATTTAACAACTTCTCACTTGGATGGGGTATAAATGTGAGTAAAAGAGTGGGTATAAGTAGTAAAGTTGCAAGAAAGTTACCTGAGCAAGGAAACCTCCCAAAGCCGGACCAATGATTAACCCCATACCCCACGCTGTGCTAACCTGAAAGAGAAGTGACTTGTCGACTTATATTGACATAGTGAGTTTGATCGAGTATTATTTTGATCTAAATGAAAGTAAGTTCCACTCTATTATTTCTCATATCCGTAAAATATGAATTACTAGTACTACCTCCGTCCCATAAATAACTCCTCTTTTGAATTGGCACACATATTAAGAAAGTGGGAAATGTGTGGTGGAGAGTTGTGCAGAGGAGAGAGAAATGTGTAAGAATGATTGTGAACCACAAATCCTTTGCTAAAAAGGAAAAGAGGAGATAAATTTGGGACGGACCAAAAAGGAAAGAATGAAGATAATTATGGGACGGAGGGAGTAATAAATTACTTCCTCCACCAGTCCACCCCTTAAAGTTCTCTCCACTTACTTTTTTGGGACATCTAAAAAACTTCTTCTTATTTCCTTTTTGGAAAGTTTTACGTGGTTAATATTCATTTAACTTCTTCTTACTGAACCATAATCATATATTTCCACTTTAATCATTAAAGAATGAAAACAATTATGACAAACTTAATGAAAAAAGTGAATGACAACATGATCAAGATGATTTGTCTAATCGTGAGAGAGTGTTGAAGTATTTCCTACATCCCTAATATATGAACCTACATAGTACTATATTAAGATCTCAAACTACTCTTCTTATTAAATTAATGAGGAAATATCAAGTCTTAATAATCATTTTTTATCATGATACATGATACTTAATATCTCAAACTACATAGTACACATTAACTAAAACTCATTCACAGATACTTGACTTCATATTTTCGTATAAAAGGCCCTAAGTTTACCGATGATAGTCCCAAGGATTGATATCGTTCTGGAAAGGCTTCTACTGCAAATGCCTAAGACATTGAAAAAATTAAAGTTAGCTCACATAGAGTATCATACAAATAACAACATAAGCAAAAGACTCCGTCCTTCCCAAATTAATTTGTAAAATCAACATTTTTGTCAAACAACGTTATTTTATTCAGTTAATTAGATATAAAAAAATATTGACTTTGAAAATCAATTTGAGACGGAGATAGTAAAAGTGATACTACAAGTTATAAATGAGAATACTTTTATGGGTCCAAGCAAACCATTTAAACTTCCCAGAAGAAATCGAGTAATAATTGCCATCCAAAAGTTTGTGCTAAAACCAAAAAGTGTATTGAAAATCACCCTGTTCACGAAAAGTGTAGCAAGATGGATAACTATTTGAGTTTAGGTAACAAATAAAAAAATAATCAAACTTTAAAAACTGAGGTAGTAAGAAACGTTACACGGAGATTGTGCTGAATATAAAAACTGGTTTTCGGCCGTATTTATCGGCTAACATCCCCCAAAATAGAGATGTCACTGCCCTTCCAAGCATGAATGCGGATCCTTCACATATATAATAAGACAATTGAATGCATTTGTTATATACAAGTATATAAACATGCAGTTTTTTACTTAAAAACTATGGAATAAGGATGTTTTCTTTTTGACCAAAATGTACTGGTCTAAATAAGTCTGGTTTGGTCTAATCCGATCTGGTAAATGTCTTGTTTTTATGTGTTTTATAACTATCCAAGTATGGTCTGATCTGGTTTGGTATGAGGTTGAAAATAGTTCAAAAGAAAACATCCTAAGTGAGATATATATTGATGCTCAATTCTTTTTAAGACGGAGTATTACCTACATAACCTGCATAATAACCAATATCTTCTTCCGTCTTCGCGATTTTGAAATCTCTTATCTGCAATTTTGCAATATTACATATATATATATACTAGTATATAGAAATATTGAATACCTAGATAAAAATTAGGTGAAAAAATAGATATCCTAAATAATAAATATAACTAAAACGTTTTGTCCAAAAATTTACAATTTATTTTGGATTAGAGAAAGTATAGCTAATCAGATAGGGCTATTGAGATACGGAGTATTTCATAACACCAATACACCATGTGCTGCGTGAAACATATACAGCGTAACATTTTACCTTTAAGTATGTATGAATATGTAATACGTAGTAATTTCTATATTTAAAGGTGGATAATATTTACATCGTTAATTAGCAAAAGTTAAATGAAAAACAAATTAACTGCACAAACATCTGAAATAATATAATATACATGCCGACATACATTAAAACAATACTTATTTTCAATTTCGCATTATATTTTCAAGTTTCAGATCAACATAATACTAGTTCTATGAGCCACAAAGAACATAACACTAGCTCTAATAATTTCTATATTTCTTTTTATATCTCCTGTTAATTTGTGTTTTCTCCCCCTCTATATAAACTTCAATCACATCATTTTGTTTTATTATTTTATGTTCAAATTAAACTTAATAAAGTTATATATACAGGACTGAAAAACTAAAATTTACACTCCAGAATTTATATTTTAGATTTTTAGATGAACATCACGTCAATTACGTTATTACGGAGTATTATGAGCTTAATGATAGTACTTGAAAGGGAAGGAGTGATACGTATAGTGACATTTGACGTGGATGCTACCACCCATCATTTGGGTGCCACTGTTACAGACATTATTGATCTTTAAAACTTAATTATTGGTATACACAAAATTTGTTCACACATTTATATGTAATTAAATTTATATGTGCACATAGATGATCTTGTACAACTATGAGATATTGAGATGCACATGCACATACTAACTATGAGATATTGAGATGCACATGCACATACTACCTCGCTCCGTCCCAAAAAACTTTGTCATTTTAAAAAATTTGAACCATGATTTTGATTAGTATAATATTATGGAAGTTATAAATTATATACTTTTATGAAAGTACTTTTAAGAAAGAACATTTTCATATAATTTTTATATTATAAATAATTTCCAATAAAAAGATATAATTGGTCAAAATTTTGAAAATGGCAAATTTTTTTGGGACGGAGGTAGTATTATCTAGGTCCACAGACAATTATGTACAAATATGTGCTAAATATATACAAATTTCATTTACAAATAAATGAGTTTTTTTAATAAAATTAAATCGGATAGTAGTCAAATGATTTTTTCCCTGATAGTACTCGAATGATTTTTTCCCGAATAGTACTCAAATGATTTTTTCCCTGAATAGTACTCAAAAGTGATTACTACTCCTGTGAAATACTACGTCCGTTCTTAAATAAGTCCAACAGTCAACATTTCATATTTGCCGAGGCACAACTTTGACCATTAATATGTATAATTCTCTATTAGTAAAAAAAATTAAAAAAAATGAGATTTTGAAAATTTATAATGAGACAAATTTAGTAATATTTTTTTCAAAAAAATATATTAATACATTAATAAATAAAATGTAGTCAAAGTAGACCATGTGAATAGTGTACAATTTACAATGTTGCACTTATTTAAGAAGTGAGGTAGTATATGGCTTTTCATGAAAATAAACCTTACTCCCTAATATTTTTTAATCGACCTTATTATTTATCCCTACATGTGCATAATGTGTACGCTATAATCCCGGTGTCCTTTAAAATTTGTCATGTTTCTTTTTCATTTCAGAAAACTTTGTTACTTTAAAAATAAAAGTGAGATTCATATATTATTTTTCTCTCATCTGCACAAATTTGAACTACATAATATTTATTTTATTATTCGAGATTTAAGTCAAACTTCATAAAGTTGTATGGAACAAGAGTATATGATTATCCAAAAGGGAGCATCCGAGCATGTGCTTTGTTCAAACCCAAAATTTTGAAAATAAAGTGCAAATTAAATATATACATGCATGGAATTGATATAATTATTTATATATAGTATTTTTTTTATACAATGTTTATTACCCTTATCCTATTTGTTAATCATTTTATTGTTGAAAAAGTTCAAATTTTAAATTATTGAATCAAACAATATTATGATGTAGGTAATATTTTAATAGTAAAATAATTAGAACGTTCTACAATTGGTTGCATTAGAACATTCAAGTGTTACCCTTATCAATTAAATTGATTGTATCACTCTATCGTGGAATTGGTTCCTACTTTAGGCGAGATTGATAATATAATTCATATTTTTATATATTTTATAAAAGTAATCTCTACTGAAAAAAATCACTATAACAAACTATACATGTTAATTATTTCACAATATGAACCATCACTTAACGGTGTTAACTTTACGTTATGTTGGTTCATTTTGTGAAAATGTTAACAAGTTAAGATTATCTACATGCATGTTACTATAACTTGTTAGATGTACAACAGAAACGTCTTACATTAACACACACACAATCAGTAATTAAGAAGTTAGTATCACATACGTTCCAATTTACAAGAGATGTAAAATTGTACTCCGTATGTAATATTTGACTAGGGGGTGTTTGCAATTGCTTCAACTTTAAAAAAGTGATTTTTTAAAGTGGTTTTGAGAAAAGTGATTAATAGTAAAAGTTAGTAGTGTTTGAGAAAAAAGTGATTCTGAAAAAGTAAAATTTGATAGTGTTTGGTAAAATAAGTACTTTTTGTGTAATAGAAAAAGTGAAAAGCAGTTTAAAGCACCCTTCTACCTGCTTCCAGCTTTTAGCTTTTAAGTGATTAATTTAAGCAGAAGCTGTCATTTGAAAACACTCTTTTCAGCTTTTTTAAGCCAAAAACTGAAAAGTGCTTTTTTAAAGCAACCGCAAACACTCCGTAAGTCAGAAATAACATCATATATGTCATATTAATACTATCGTATTTAATACCCCCCCCCCCCCCTCCTGTTTTATTTAGTCAGATTTGTCTTTTTGAGTAAATGATATCTAACTTTGACCGATTAAATATTTATACACATAAGTATTGATAATATGAAAATGATATAAAAATGAGCTTTGTCAAAAATATTGTCATGAAAGTATAAAATTATTAAATTTCTTACATAAATATATTAGTAAAAATAATAAACAGTCAAAGTTTACCATCTTTGAATGGAAAAGTCAATGATGGCTAACTAAAAAAGGAAGGGATGCAGTATTATATTACTAAAACTATTTTGAAATGTCTATTATAATGAAAAAGAAAGATTGAATATGATTAAAATATACGGAGTAATATAATATTGATAAGAAATAAAAGAGTAGAAGAGAATTCATTTTTTGGTAGCTGAGAATCTGATGTGTATATGGTGTTAATTGTTAAATGAGTAGAAGTACGATCGATATTGTGGTGTATTTGGCCATTGGATGATGGAAGAGGCAAATGAAGGCCAAAGTACAGTGGGTCTAAATATAATGCCAAACCAACATGAATTGACCTAAAATCACAAATCAATATGAATTCTGATGGAGGCGTGGACCCTTTTAATGAACAGGGGTAAACATATGACCCCAAGTCCCCAACCTTATACTATTAAAAATATATCATCGTCTCTAGTGATAGAGGCATAGAGCTAGTCTAGCAACATACTTCGTATTAAATGTTGTGTTTGGGAGTACATCCATAGCCTTCTTGATCATTAATATATGGAATTGATTAATAGTAAAATGATTAAAAAAACACACATTTTAAAAATTTACTTTGGGACAAATTTCATACGGAGTAGTATTTTTAATATAATTATTTAAAAATTAATAAATAAAATGTAAACAAAGTAAATAATGTAAAAATCAAAATGATGTAACAATTAAAGAATAATTGAAGTAATAAATAAACGTTCTCAAATCTCAGTCATCGATTTTATTCAGTCACAAGACTTGTTTTAATATTTATAATCTTATTGATTATAAATATTTTACAATTTCTTTACATATTTTGATATTTTTTACAATTTCTTTTACATTTTATTTCCATATTTTACAACTAATCGGCAATAGCTCCCAACATCTCGCAATCGACATTCACACAGCCAAGCAGCAGAGGCGCAGAGCCACGCCGCCACATAGGACTGCAAGGGCTCTCGCCTCCCAGGGCCGGCCAGCTCGCCGACCGTCGTGCCTCTCCTGCCATCCGCCTTTCTGGTAGGTTATCCGATTTTTCCTTTCTTAAATAAATTTAATATTTGATATTGCATTATTGAATTTTTACAATTCATAACCATGTTTCTTATTATATTTAGATGAGTGTAATGAATCTAATGATTACGTATTACTCCGTATTAGTTTATTATTACTATGAAAGTATGAATTTATAATATTTGAATTAATTATTTTTGTTTTCGGTAATTATTATTAAGGAAAGTCAATTGAGAATTTTCCCTCGAATAAAGCACAATAAGTTTTTGTGCTAGTTCTTCAAATGTTTAGCACCGTTACATTAGGCCTTTTGATTAAATTTCTTACTATGTACTTTGTATGTTTTATCGGTGTGATTTGTTAAGACAATGTTATTATTAATTTGATGATTTATGTTATGCTATCGTGCATGTCCCTTTACAATATTTTCTAGTTCCGCCACCGGGTGTCAATATGAAGTAGAGTATTGTAGTTCAATGGATATCACTCTGGATCGTTGTTGTTCATGAATCTAATTTCTAAATAAATTGTTCTGTTGATTTTTTAGTGAATATATAGACAAAAGATGATTACAACCTTTTTGACAAAAAAAAACAAGTAATGACCACATTATTAGAACGGTACCTTTCTGAAGGGAGAGAGCAATAAAACCAGCTGTAAGAAATGAGTTCAAGAAAAAAAACAGACTTACCATGAAATATATGAATGGAAAGAGAGATGATATTGGAAGCGCTGAAAATTAAAGCCCCAAAAACGAACAATCAATAATAAGATATGAAACTGGTCACAAAATAATACTAGTAAGATGTGAAGAAGAAACAGAGTTTACTTTGTATGATTGGTTACACTATCTATGTTCTACGAAAAACGCGGAAATCACAAGTAAACAGGAAATGAGAAACGTCATCTTGCTAAAAACAATTGTTTTAAGAGTTTCGAAAAAGTTTCTGTAGAGTTTTCAAAATAGAAACGTAGTCTTTCCCGAGAGTTTCGGTACTTCATAGCCATTAACGAAATCAATATAGGATTTAATTAAAAGAACAATAACATAATGAAGATTAAGCATACAAGAGCAGAGAACAATTGCCCAAACGCGGATCAGCAATTTGATGGGAACCCCTCTCTGCAACTGCTTCTGCTGCTCTACCTTACAGCCTGGGCAGTTCTCATAGTATCCTTTCTCTGCTTTCTGCTCCAATAATGCTTCCTTATAGGAAGCGTCCGATTCACTAGCCATTTCTTCTAATCGCAGCAGAGTATAAAGAGATGGTATACTCTTTTCTTCTCTTACGTTTCTTTTTCTGTTCTCGCTGGGTTATGTTTGGGAGTGAACAGAGATGGAATTATAGATCAGAGCAATTTATTACTACTCCCTCCCAATAATACTTGGACATGAGAAGGCAGGGGCGAAGTCAAGAAGGGTAATGGTTGTCAACCCAACCCCTCGAAATTTGAGAGTATAGTGCTATGAAATATTTTCGATTTAATATATTATAACTCTCGTAATTCATTACTAATAAAAGTTGACTTCTGCAAAATCAGCACTACTTAAACTTAGAATTAGTAAAATTTGATGTGTAATACTATGTATGTAGTACTAGGTATTAATTGTATTCCCAAAATAGCATATAATTCTCTTGTTACATGACTTAGAAACAGAGCAAAAACAACATATCTTAACTTATTTCTACGAGTGACGTACTACTCAATAGTCGATATTTTTCTAGTAATAATATAATATTTTCATATTAAACCGGGTGGGGAGAACTATAGAGTACTAGGGTAAGGCAAAGGGCAGAGGCAATCATCGGTGCGGAAACTCCTTTATTTAACCCGTATAAAACAAGTTTAAGTTTATAATATACATGACATATATATCAACTATGTGACTCTATTAGTTTCATTTAAATTACCATTTATTTAAGTTACATTCACTTCGGGTATTGTCTAAAAATAATCTACCGTTTTCGTTCTATGTAAAGTTGAATTTCAACTCCCTTAGTCGTTTTTCTGGCTCAATCCCTGTGAAAATGTGATGCGGTTATTAAGAAAAATGTATTTATGTGGTTGATATTAATTAATATAGTAAAAATAAAGTAACAATAATTTAGAACCACACAGATTTTATTAAATTTAATATGAGAAATGTCAGTGAGACGGAGGGAAAATGAAAAATAAGACGGAGCGAAAAGGAGTACTCCGTAGTATCGTACTTACCAGTTAGACTCCCACAATAAATATCTATGCCGTGCATTATTGGTTCCCAAGTCAGAATTGCGTGTCTTAGGCTAACCGCAACCCAACCCGTCAATAAATCTAATTCCCCACCAGTTTATACGTATTCACGAAGTCAATCCAGTTTTTCCCTGCAACCCAGTGTTAAATGTCTCACACCGGAAACGTTTGGATGAACAAAGTGCTATTAACACATGGGCTACTCCTTCTATTAGGTTGACCTTTTAGGATGGAATCTCGGGTCTGAACATGGTATCAGAGCCAAATCGATCCATGGTGTGGGACCCCTTATGAGAAAATGATGACATGCTTTTAAAACGGCCGGATGAAAAAAAACGGACCGATGCAAAAAAAATGAATGATGGCACGATCCAAACGAAGTGTCCGGTCATGAGGATGAGTGTTAAATGTCTCACACCGAAAACGTTTGGATGAACAAAGTGCTATATTAACACATAGGCTACTCCTCCTATTAGGTTGACCTTTTAGGATGGAATCCCGGGTCTTAACACTCAGCCCCGTCAATATATTCTCTCAACACATTTTGTTTTTAATTAAATGCATAAACCCTTACTTTTTTATTATACATCATTTGTGTGAAAATTTTATTGTTACAATAATTATGATTTAAAAAGTCAAACATTCCGAAGTAAAAAAAATAAAAAATGTGAATTAATGTTTTCGTAAGTATTTAAAATGAACACTTGGTTTCAATTTGAAGTAAATGTTTACAAAATGCAAAATATTACATTATTTTCTATATTGCTATATTTTTATTTTTTATTTTTAATACTCCGTACTATGCTTTTGTTGGAACACATGTTATTAAATTGAAATGCTAACAATCAAATACTAGAAACACACATAATATTGAGTACGAAAAAAAAGAGGAACAGATCGCAATACATTACAATAATAGTTAATAGATTTAAAAAAATTGAACAATGAGATTTTAATTTCAATCTATTTTGAAAAAAATTAGATAAAAAAAGTCTTGAGCAGTTGTGCAGCAGGTGAAACTTCAACTTTTTCTTAACTTTATATATGCAATATTTATGTCATTTGAAAGATCATAAAAAGTTATGAAATTTGATATATTTTTCATAAAATTTGGACTATAAATAAAAAATTTATAACCATTTAAATAAAAAAATGTTTTATTTTATCTTTGGTCCCACACAGTGACGGAGCAACCCTATTCAAGGGTGTTCACATGAACACCCAAAACATTGATCACAAAATGCAAAAATACATGTATATAATAGATGGAATAATTTATATGTTGTGTTTTTATATGTTATTTCTTAATTTTAACAATATTTAGCATTTTTTCTTTCCATTGAATCAAATAGTATCCTTTAAATTGTTGGGTTAAACCATATTATTTTTTAAAAATGTATTTATAAAGTAATTTGAACACCCGATCATGCGCTGCCTTCGATGCTCTCTCTTTTGTTAGCAGGAGTATGGGGCATAGCTATCCCTCCCAAGGGTTTCTCATACTCCCCGTGGCACCCCCTTATACATATTTTTGCTTGGGTTGAAGCTTAATTGGAATAAATAGCTCAAATTTGAGGCTTTCACCCCACCGGTTGCGGACAGCCTTAGGCCCTTAGGTCCAATGTTCCCTAGTTTGGTTCTCTATATGCGACAATTTGTAGATATTTATTTTGTTTTATAAAAATTTGACTATATAAGAGTGAACGTAATGAGATAGCCAGTATTTAAAACATGATTACATGTGTTTTTCTTTTTGAAGGGTGTAATTATAGACATGACTCTTTCAAAACTGACGTAAAATGTGTAAAATGATATATCTATTTAATAATATTTGAAAATAATGTCAATTATGATACTGTCATATGAATATTATTGTCATATTAATATTTGGTGATGTATATCAGTTGCTATACTGTTGGAGCTGCTCCCACAGGCAACAACGCGCGTGAACAGTAATGTTTTTTCATTGTTCGGGAGTAGAATGATGTAACTCGCGTGTAAAAAAATGTAAATCAAGATGATAAGAAATGTAGCTGCAAGCAAGTCAAAAATGTAACTTGTCTAATTAATACGAATAATAAGAAATAAAATATTAATTTCAATGAAAATAAGGATTTTAATTGCTCAATTAAAATATTGTTTAATATGTTTTGTTTTTAATATTAAGATCATAAAAATGGTTTTTTTGTAAATTATTCTTTGCTAAAGAAATCATTTTTTACCAAAGGTAAAAAATGATTTTACTTCAAAATCGTTTTTTTTTTTGCAAAAAAATGATTTTTTTACATGGGTTTATTTTGTGATGTAACACGTGTTATGGAAAATGTAAATCGCTATCTAACTTAGGTGTGTGCAAAATGTAACTTGTTAAGGTAAGTCCAAATGTGACTCGTGCATAGGAAGATGTAACTCACGCATATGTACAATAAATGTAACTAGCATATAAGAAGATGTACCTCCATATCCTATCAAATGTAAACAATGAAAACAAGGAGTCTAAATGCTCAATTAATTAAAGTAAATAGTTAACTTGTTTTGTTTTTATTTAGTATTAAGGCCATAAAAATGTTTTAAGTGAAAATAAATTTTTTGCCCAAAACATTCTTTTTTTTGTCAAAAAAATCATTTTTTGGTTTCAATAGCAGGGGTTTATTTTGTGATGTAGCTCGTGTTATGAAAAATATAACTCGCATTAATTTAAAATCTAACTTAGGTGTATGCAAAATGTAACTTGTTGAGGCAAATCCAAATGTAACTTGCATATAGGAAGATGTAACTCACGCAAAAAAATGTGCTACTGGCGCATATGAAGATGTAACTTCATATACTATCGAATATAAATAATGAAAACAAGGAGTATAATTGCTCAATTAATTTTAATTTCCAAAAAAATTATAAAAATATATACCTCACATATGAAATTATAACCTCATAATTTATCAAATGGAAATCAAAATAAACAAATTTAATGTCTTAAACACTAACAACATATAAAAAAGATATGTAATATGTTACAGAAAAAAGTGTATGAATATGAAAAAAATATTCTAAAAAAAGTGTATAGATATACAAAAATATTACATAAAAAATAAATTTTGTTGTAATTTCAATTGAAGAAAAAAAAAGGAGAAACTAAATGTATGAATAAGGACTAAGATAGAAAAAAAAAAGTAATTAATTTCTTTTGAAATGAAAAAATTTTGATCACAAAATTGTAATACTACATTCCAGTATGTGTTCCTAAATTTAAAAAAAAAAAAGCATTCTGAAATAGTGATTCATTGATTGCTAGCTTTTGATTAATAAAAAATTAAAAGTAAAAAACATGAGGGTGGGTTTAATATCATTTGAATTAGTACTAATAGTAAATCCGTACTTCATTACAGAAAGCTTAGCCCATATGCTATCTTTGGAGATACCTTAAATTTAGTGTATTTACCTTAATTGCACTACTTTGTTAGGAGGTCATTTTCCCGCTCAAGAACCAAATACATTTCAGTCACCCGATAAAAAAAAGATCTACGCTCATTTGGAGATGGGGGAGCGTAGGGAGTGCTCGGTCAAGAGTTTTACGGGGTGGGCTGGTTGGACGAAGAGGTGGGGTTTTTGTCTTCTTCCCAAGGTGAAAACCCTTTTTTAGCAGGTTTGTTCAGGTTGTTTTCCACCTGTTAAAGAGCTGAATCAGAGGAGGGTGAACTGCTCAGTGAGGTGCTGGCTGTGCAGAGGAGAAGAGGAGTGAGTGTTGTTGCATTTATTTGTCAAATGTCCGGTAGTGCTAGCAAGTTGGAGTTGTATATGTTGGAATCTTCAGGGGCAAGCATTGATAAAGTGTTTTTAAAGTCTTATGCATTTTAGAATCTTAAAATGATATCTTTAATCAATTAATGTGGTATGTATATTGGAAGAAGATTGAAGAAATATTTGCAGACCTCCCACTTTGAATAGTGGACCTCTTAGTCTTGCTAGAACTCTTAATGCTTATCTCTACATGCTATGTGAAATATGTTTTGTAACTCTTAGTCTTGCTAGAACTCTTAATGCTTATCTCTACATGCTATGTGAAATATCTATAACATTTATTTGTGATAAGAATTTATTTTACACAGATTTTTGTAGTTCACCAAATTTGATTGTGAGAATGGTATGATGTGTAGTCAAATTTTCTTTTAATGGGAGAATCATCTTAAAATGAATAATATATTATCTTATTAAAATGGTATTCTCTTATTATAAAATACGGAGACATGGAGTATTTTTGTTTCTCAAATTAATAGAGTCATTAATACTTTAATTAGGTTTCCTTATTTAATTAGTTTCCTAATGTACTCGGAACTCTTATTATTATATATATGACATCTAGGCTACCTCTTGGGTATGCCTTTCCATTATTTTCACATGGTATCAAGAGCCCTAGGTTTTTAGACAGATAAATTTTTTTTTACGATGTCCTCTTCCGAAGCTTCAGCCGCCGCCGTGTCTGCTGCAACTTCTGCCGCCGTCGTGACTAGTACGCCGGCATCAGCAGCACCGGCTTTGAGCGCAGCTCACGTCTCGGGATTCTCCTCAGCGCCGCCGGAGTTCGAACTCGCCAAGCCCGAGTCCTCATTCTCGCCGCTGTCTTCAACATGGATCCCACCAATTTTTACTTAGACGCCAACACCACCATTAGCTCCGTCGCAACCTCTGTTCCTTGGCGACGTGAATGGCGAATCCAGCAGCGCAGCCACACAACGCGCGCGATTCGGTGGATCGACCCTCACTGGAAGTCCGGGTCTCGCTTTTCCTGCTCCGTCTCACATCATCGGTCATAGGCAGCCCGAGACATCCATGCCTGTTTCTTTTGCTTCTCTGGCTCAAGGCATGACTTTTGGTAATTCGATTGCTCAAATTGTTACCACTAAGTTATTAGCCGTTGAAGATTATTTGCCATGCCGTACACAATTTGAGTCCTTTTTGGTGGCGAATGGTCTCTTGGGTTTTCTTGATGGATCTCTTCCGGCTCCACCTATGTACACCTATGATTTACATCAGGCCCAGACTCCCAATCCGTAATATTATCATTGGTTAAAACTTGACCAGACTGTTCGTGCTTGGTTGTTTGCTACGCTATCCCGTGAGGTGTTGATGGAAGTTCATACTCTCAAAAATTCCACTCCAATTTGGCAAAAATTGGAGGCTCGTTTCATGGCGGCTAGTCTTGCTCGTTCCATGGAATTGAAACATATGTTATCTCATACTCGGAAGAAAGCCAATCAATCCATGGAAGAGTATGTTCGTGGCATACGAACAATTGCCGATAACCTAAATTCCATAAATGCTCCGGTTTCTGATACAGATTTGTTACAACATACACTTTATGGCTTAGGACCTGGGTATGAATCGTTGGTTGGGCCACTTACTCTTTTCCCCGAAGGTTTGACGTTTGATAAATTATGCACCAAGCTGGTTCATCAGGAGGCACGATTACAATATCAACAATCCCTGGAAACTTCCATTAGTGCACATGCATTCGCGGTTCATAATCAGGCAGGGGGAGCTCCAAACATTGCTAATGATGTTGTCCAGCAATAGCCCTACCGGGGAGGAGGCCGTGGCGGCCGACGTGGCAACCGGGGCCGCGGCCGAGGTCGAGGCCGACACCAACAGCCACCACCAGCACACGTCCAGCAGCCTCCGCACTACGGGCAGCAGGCCCAGTACTATGGACAGCGGCCACCATACCCACAGCTTCATTCCTCCGGTCGAGCCCAGCCCTAAGGCATTCATACGGGACAATCGGGTATAGTATTTTGTAATTCAGTTGCGTCATCATTTTATACTCAAGTACCTTCTATTTTTTGTACTAACGATGCTTCTGCAGGATTCCCGTCCTTTGAGAATAATTTTAGTTCCGTCCCACCACCCGTTGTATGCCAAATATGTCATTCACCAGGTCATTCCGCTGTGTCATCATGTCATGTCCATCTCGCTTTGCTCAACCTTCTACTCCTACATTAGCTGTTCCCACCGGGGAAACCACTCCGACTGTTTGGTATCCTGACTCCGGCGCTTCCGCTCACATGACCGCTAATGAAGGTATCTTAGTAAATAAATCTGTTTATACTGGACCGCTTTCTGTTACGGTTGTGAATGGCTCTACTTTACCTGTTATGACTATTGGTGACTTGCATTTGTCCACTACGCCTCGATCTCTCCATTTAAAATCGGTTTATCATGTTCCTCATATTAAATATAATTTACTATCCATTCAAAAATTGTGTGCCGATAATAATTGTTTTGTGGTTTTTGATAAAAACTCTGTTTGTGTTAAGGACAAAATTTCGGGGAAGGTCCTTCTTCAAGCTTTCAGTAATGGTGATGTCTACCCTATGTCTTTTTCTGCCAGTCCGCCTGTTGCTCTAGTCTCACATGTTGCTCCTGGACCAGTTTGGCACCGTCGCTTAGGACACTGTGGCAGTCGTATTTTAGATAGACTTAAGAAAACTGGCACTATTCTTAGTACTTTGAATTTTTCCCATGATTGTATTTCTTGTCGCTTAGGCAAGTCACAACGTTTACCCTTTCAAGAAGTGTGGCATAAATCTACTACTCCTTTATTTTTAATTCATTCTGATGTTTGGCAATCTCCTGTTTTGTCTACCAGTGGCTATAAATATTATGTTTTATTTATTGATGATTTTTCCCGTTTTACTTGACTTTATCCCATGCGCCGTAAAAGTGAAGTTGTGACTCATTTTCGAAATTTTAAAATAATGGTAGAAAATTTATTTAATTCTAAAATCAAAATTTTTCAAAGTGATGGAGGGGGTGAGTTTGATAATCATGGTATGCGAGAAATTTTTCTTAACAATGGCATTTTGTTTAGGAAATTTTGCCCTGACACTCCTGAACAAAATGGTTTAGCTGAACGTAAACATAAGCATTTACTTGAACTAACTCGCACTATGCTTCTTGAAGCAAACATGCCCGCTAGTTTTTGGGTTGATGCGGTGTTTACCGCTACCTATATTATTAATCGTCTCCCTACTCCTAATTTAAATGGTGCTTCTCCGTTTGAAAAATTATTTCACCATCCTCCCGACTTCTCTTTTATGCGTGTTTTTGGTTGTGCCTGCTTTCCAAATTTCATTGCCACTTCTGCCAATAAATTGTCTCCAAGATCTGTTTTGTGTGTTTTTCTGGGATATGCCCCTGAATACAAGGGTTACCGTTGCTTAGATCCTATTAGCGGCAAGATCTACATTAATCGGAATGTTCGTTTTTATGAAAACATTTTCCCATACTCAAGCCTGATTTCTTCTCCACAAAATACTATGTTCCCACAAGTGTCACCACCAAATACTATTCATCTTCATGAACCCTTTCGGCCAAACACAGTTCATCTCAGTTCTTCTATCCCTGACCCACTTCAGCCGAGCCCTTCATCAGCTGCCTGCACTCCTCGGCTGACTTCTATCACTGCTACCAGTACCTCATCACCCTTGGCCGAGCACGTAACCGAACCCAGCCCCACCGCATCTTCTTCTGCTGATTTCTCGCCCAGCTCACCAACCAGCCCTTCCCATTGTTCCTCTCAGCCAGCAGCCCCAATCACGACCACAACACCACCTCTCTCACCACCATTTTCCCAGCCCACATCTTCCCCGGTAAATTGTCACCCGATGCAAACTAGAGCTAAGTTTGTGCTAATTAGTTGACAAATGTGTGTCAACTATGTTTGTACAGTAATGCAATAGAGAAACATCGTATGAGTTCCATTTTGTTGTCTTAAGAATTTGGAAGCACAAAATCAATATATTTTAAAATGTATGTACGGTTGGTATTTTTACACAATACAATATTTTATACTCCGTACTACGTAATTCTTATCATTATATGGAAAGTAATACCTAATTTTCCATATAATAAACTACACAGATGATGATAAACCAATATTTATGAACTACATCCTGTGCAAGGGAGAGAGGGAGAAGTATCGGGTTCAATTTCAAAGAATGATTTGGGATGAAACTCCACTCTCTTTCTATTAGAGAGCGATCAAAGTTTAAGTTACATCATCCTAGATATTTGTTCGGTCAGTTCTGAGGGGTTTGGGGATAGAGTGTCATCCTTTTTTAGTAACACAATGACTATCAACAAGAGTGAGGCACAATCTTTGGAGAGGGTTGTTTTCTCACGTGATTTGGTTTTCATCCATGGACAATTTTATATGACATCTCAATAGTAACTTCCCAATATGGATTGTAGTTTATTATATGTGATGACGACAGAAAACCGGCAAAGAAGACTTTAAATGTTATTTACAAGGGAGTATGTAATAATTTTTAATTTTCTATCTTCATTTAGATTTGTTAAAAACAATATATGTGTTACTCTATCTTTATCACAATATTTCTATATATTTTCAAATAATTTATTCCTTACTAACTGCATCCCGTGCGAAGCACGGGTGAAAATCTAGTTAGATAAATTATACGAAGTAATACGTATTGTTATTTATTATAACTAAACATCTTCTAAAAACACTTTAACACTTTATTTAATGAAAGCAAAATTGTACACGGAATGTTATAGTTTAGGTGATTATTGACACTTTATTAGGGGCAGCTGCCCCCCCTATAGTAGATGTGGATCCTCCCATGCTTGGATTCGGATCCTCTGCCCGACTAGGACGGTGTCTTGCGCATCGGACAGTCGGGCAGTAGCAAAGCAGGCCTCGAGATTAGCGAAAAAGTAGAGCCCAAGATCTCCGACCGTTGAATTGTTGATCGGACGACCCGGAAGAAGCAAGGCACCCTACCTTACTCTAAAGTAAGGTAGAGGCTCCGGATCCCCCATGCTTCGTTTACAAATTAGTAAAGGATTTGTACGTACTAGTATTGACTCTGAATAGATGTAGTATTGAACTTGATCATATACTGCTATATTTTGTTTCGTTTAGAGCATTTTATATAACACTGGAAAGTTTTAAAACAGGCTTCGTTTTCAAAATATTACGAAATTTGGATCAGTGAAACAACACAAGCACTATAGAAAGTATAGTAAAACATTTACCAAAATTGAAGAATTCAAAATAATTTATATTACAGCGGAGTTTCAAAATAATTTAATTGGATTGAATTTTTCTTGTTAGTCCGATCTGGTCTGGTCTAGTCTGATTTGATCTGGTTTGTTAAAGTCTGGTCTGGTCTGAATCTGTCTGATCTGATCTAGTAAATGTCCAGTGTCTGTGTTTTTTATCACTGTGGAAATCTGATCTGGTATTGTATGGTCCATTTAAGTCTGATTTGATCTTTTTAAGTTTTCTTTGGTCTTAGTTTAGGATTGAAATAATTCCATGTAAAAACACCCTTAGTCTCTCTTGAGACAATGAGTTTTTTTCTGGTTAAATATTTGTATCTTTACTTTTCTGCCACTATATATATCCATCGCTAAAACTACGTGAAAAATTATCACAATTCTACACACAATTCACCCACAATGTGATTCAACCAATTCATCACCTAACAACAACTAGAGCTTAAATAACAAAAAACATGAGAAAGTTATCAATATGAAAAAACAGAATAGTTTAAAAAAACGGAATACTGCCGGTATACATAAATGGAAGTGTTAAATGCATTGATGCATGTGCAAATATCAATTTCCTCCCAGCAGTGAGCTTTGTTGGGGAAAAAATGCTCGAAGATATGGGCATATACACACTTCTTTCATCGATTAGCTTGGCATTCGTTCAACAAGAAATGGCTTAAAAGTGAGCAATACACCAATACCATCAATGACAATGAGCGTAAAGAATGTCATTTGATTGCCTACATATAGAAAGGTATGAAAAATATGTTTAGGTTAACCGTTCAATTCATCTAATGTTATGGCATAAATATGATCAACCGGTCTACATGAACGTGTAGTGTGGTGGGTGGGGCCGTGGGGGGGGGGGGGGGGGGGCTCTGCCCTTAATTCAGATTTTTTCCTTCAAAGTAAGATCCAAAAGATAGGGTAATTATTATTCGAAAATCTAGAAGATAAATTTTCTTATGAAGGACCTAAATGGTTGAAACCTATCACTTTAGGACTTGAGTAATTGGAAATTATCACCTCAAGAATTAAATATCTTAAATCTTAAATTAGATATATAGTTCTTAATTAATTGACTTAATTAAATACTACCTCCGTTCTTAAATAAGTGCAGCAGTCATCAACATTTCACAATTGCCGAGGCACAACTTTGACCATTAACATATATAACTCTCTATTAGTAAAAAAAATTAAAAAAAATCAGATTTTGAAAATTTACAATGAGACACATTTAGTAATATTTTTTTCAAAAATATATATTAATACATCAATAAATAAAATGTAGTCAAAGTAAAACATGTGAATAGTGTAAAATTTGCAATGTTGCACTTATTTCAGAACGGATGTAGTATTCTTTATTTTGTTTGTGTGTATATATACTCGTGAAGAAACTTTATTGAAAGTTAAGATAAAAAGGTAAAAAGTTAGTTAATGAAATTTAGGTTTTGGATTGAGAGTTTTCAATCATTTGAATCTTTTAGGTTTTTGGTTGATAGTAATTGATTAACTATATGGCAAAATGGTCATATAATCTGTATACTAAGACAAAAGATCCATTAGATCCTCGTATTAACAAATTAAATCACTCAATCTAACCCTTCAATCATAAAAAACACTTCTAGGTTTTTTTTATAAACAATCGGTTAACAGGTTAATCTGCATCATGGCAATACACATGATAGATTTCACACTTTCCTTTTTTCTCGTTGTGTTTCTCTCATATTTCCTTTTCTCTCCCCTTGGCCTTTAATTTTCTTCCTCCGCCCCAACCCGCAACACAGTGTTCGTTTTCTTTTCTTCCCCCTTTCCTTTTTCTTCTTCCGCCCCACCCGACCCAAAGCAGCCGACCCTTTCTTCTTCTAAGGAACTTCCTCGGCGCGGACCATGCATGGTGCCACAGATCTTCTTCGGCGTGAGGCACGCCGACGACAATATGCACGGTTGCCTCACCTTCTGCTTCTCCATTCATCTACTTCTCTCTCTATTTTCCGTTGCTGCACAAAATGGTCGATGCCGACGTGGTGGCTGCTGCGAAGTCATCACCGGAAGTCTTGGGTCATCCGAGTCGTTGAAGTACGGGTTCAACCGAGTCTGCAAGTTTTTCGAGGACTTTGTCTCGGTCTTCATCAACCGAGTCTTCAGTCACTCTTTCTTTCTCTGTTTGTCCACAAAGAAAGAAGAAAAGGGGAAAAAACATATGCTGAGCGGGTTGGGTGCTTGTGCGGAAGATGAAAGCCAAGCATAGAGAGATGGACAAAAGAAAGAAGAAAAAGAAAAAAAGTGCAAAATATGTCAGGTGGATAGCCATGTGTGCAAATTAACTTGTTAAGAGGTTGTTTACTAGCTACAAACTAAACTGGGTGTTTCTTTTTATAGATTGAGGGGGTGATTGAGTGTGTTGCTAATACGAGGTCCTAATTGATTTTTTGTCGGAGACATGTTTGTTAGTTTTCCCAAAAATCACCTTTATTATAAAAATTATGTGAATGATTTTATTTCAAACGTCGAATGATCGAATAACAATCAAAAGTACGATGCATTGTTGTTAAAGCATGAAATATGAAATCAAGTTCATAGAAAGCATGAACTCGATTTGTGTAGGATCAAACAAAAATATCGATAGTTTTTTGGATAAAGATCGATTTTGTACCTGGAAGAAATTTCGCACTTTGACGCTTTTCTGACCAAGAAAACCTATGAATAAAAAAACATGCACACACTGATGTGATTTACTGTGGGGAATTCCAACCGCAGTATAATAAGTAGGAAATGTAAAAATATATTTCAAAATGAATCATGAAGAATTGAAAGCTCACAATGTTCCTGCTCCTGCGGGACCTAAAGCTTTGAAGATTGACATCCCGGTCATCGCAATGCCATTTGCTAATCCTCTTTGATCTTGATCCTATCACCCATTATTGTGATTAACTAGGTTAAACCGTGTGACTATCAGTTCATGAAACGTGCCCGGTCCATAAATGCAAATTCGAATTGGCCTTGATTCGGTAAGAATGGTATGTGTTCAGTGTTCGGGTACGGATGCGAAAAACTTTACATATGTAGTATATGATTTGATCAATAAATGTTGGTTTTTTATTCTAGCATTCAGCAAGTTTGATATAAAAAAACCGATCGATTATAGGATTCTAGTTTATGCTCGTTGATTTTATTGTTTTCGAACCGAATCTAAAATGGGCTACGCTCAATACAACTCAAAAAAAGTATTTGAGCTTCTAGCCCGGTTCATATTAGAATTTGAAGTCGAGTTCGAACTCGAATAGTTCAAAAAATTGGGTTGTTTAAGCCACATGGTAGAGGAAGAAAAATATGTAGTACTGTGTACTACACATGATGGTTGGTCAATTTACATACTTCCTCCGTTCTTTTTTAGTTGCAACGGTCAACATTTTACATTTGCCAACGCGCGTCTTTGATCGTAATTATATCTTAATCTCTATTAGTAAAAAAAATTAAAAATCGGATTTTGAAACTTTGTAATGAGATGAATTGAACAATATCTTTTTTAAAAATAATTTTCATAAAATAATAGTGTAAAATTTAGTCAAAGTAGAGTTTGTGAATAGTGTAAAATTCAACATGTTGCGATTAAAAAGAAACGGAGGATAGTATTATACAAGTAAGAGTAAAAAAAAGAGAAAAGTTATATCATCACCACTGCACTATTCTGTAGAATGAAGAGTCCGGTTACGATTGTTACCTGTAATAACATAATAAAAGGTTGAAATGGTTAATAAATATCCGAATTAAATAACTCCATTTTCTTCCTCTTTTGCAATTACATAGAATACAAATTCCAAGTTAATATTGCTAATATATTTGAACTTTATTCAATTTAACATAATAACAAGTAAGACATTCCAAAGGTTTCACATAATTACATACAATGCAAATTAAGGCCATTCAATTACTTACTAATAAAATGTTCATCAAGAGGGATGCACAATTTAACACAATCTTGAGGTTTATCCCGGATAAATTTGCAATGTAAGGGTAACTCGCTAGCAGGGGAATCACCACAATCTGTAAGTATTAATCTTAAATTAGAAAGTATATTTTAAAAGAAATTTGGCTCTGCAATTGATATTAGTTATATATTATTGGTCTTATGTAGCTTCTTTATTATTCATACATACTCCTGCAATTCTGGACACCATTACAGAGCCAATTGTTCTCTCCACAAAGGGATACACAAAAACTTGAAACACCAGAAGACTGAACCCTATAAAGCACAAAGAAATTGCATTGAAATTTAATTTTAGGAGAGAAATATAAAAAAAAAAAAAACTTTACAATGTGAATAATTTTTCCTACATCAGTATAAAATTACACTCTTCGTCCCATTCGAAGGTTCCCACTTTCATTTTTCGGATGTCCCATATAAAGGTTCTCATTTCCATTTTAGGAAACAATTAACAATCTTAAGTGACAAATTAATCATTAAATATTAAAAATAATATATTTATAACATCACAGTTACCAATACTAACTACATTATAATATATACTAGGTACCTATTAAAATTATTTCTCAAAATATATTCGAAGTACTTTATTTAATTATTATCTAAATATCTGTGCCGTTTTGTTATGGGAACCTTCCAACGCAACGGAGGTAATATGTTTTAGCACATGCCAGTCTAGGAAGTCGTGTTAACTAAACTGAAGAGTGATTTTTTTTTTGCGAGGAAAACTGAAGAGTGATTATGCTAGGCATAAAACAATATATAGTGCCCGAATTGCTAATTGAGGAAAAAAAGTTACACTAAAAAAATTAAGAAAAATTAAATTGTGAGGAACTTAGCCAATCATACCCCTGCTATGTAGATTCACCATTTCCTTTTAGAATATAATCTTAAGATGGGAATATAATTACCGAATTCAAGCTGACCCGATCACATTTTAGGCCTCAAGCGTCGTAGACCGGTCGAACCCAACCTCGGCTCAGTACCTCAAAGAAGACTGAACACAGTGAAATAGCTTTAATGGACACCACAAATAAGTCATTACTCGTAATATGCAACAAACTAATTATATATTTATGGTTGCATTTATCTCAATAATATTATGTAATGATTATTCATGTAGTAGCATATTAAATTAACTTTTAATTATTAGCTTATATATATATATAATCCATGTATATATTTATGGTCCTACACCCTCTACCTATATAAGAGGGGCATGCCACCCTCCTTTGGAGGGTGGGTAGCTTCTCCTCGACCCGTCTTCTCACTTCTGTATATCCCGAAATAGATAACAACATAAAGGAAATTGTATTAATATGTTGTTGTATTCTTCTTTTATTTTATATTTTTACAATCACATTACATATTTATGTTGGATCATCATTTAAATTCCGAAGCCTTTTTTAAGGGATGACCCAACATAAAACCGGTAATATTATTGTAAAAATTAAAATAAGAACATAATAAGAGATTGATACTCTTTCTTTTATTGATATCCATTTCAGAAAAATGAGTGAAAATGTGGGTCATGGAGAAGCCGCCCTCCAAATGAGAGTGGGACGTCCCTCTTGTAGGTATAGGGGCAGGGTTAATGAATAATCATTACATAATATTTTTTATTAAATAATTAAGTGCAATCATGAATATTAGTCTCTTGCATATTAATAACCTCTTGTGGTGTTCGTTGAAACTATTTAGCCGAACACTGAGTTCGAGCCTCGAAGCCAGGAAGTAGTCGATCAGACTTGAGAAATTATATCCACCATCTAAGTTTTAGGATAGAAACCCAAAACTAAAATATGTGTGTGCGTGCGCACGCATTATTGCAATATACAGAGTATCAAAGGTTTAAGTTGAGTGAAACACATTAATTTGTCAATTTTAGAAAAATATATTGTTATGTACCAGAGATTGCTAGAACGATTGCAACATCGTCTGAAGAATAACTTAATCCTCCAAGTCTTCGAGGACTCTCAGCCCACAATGAGAATATCTATAGCAAAAAAAGACATATTAGTAAGTTATGATTTGCTCTCTTAAACTAATTTTGGTCATTTGATCTAGTTTGATTAGATATAGTATGAGATTGGAACAAGCTAAGTGTAACAAAAAAAAATCAAATGGATGGTACACATATACCATATTTACCTCGGTATAAGCCATTTCATGAAGGGAAAAGACACAATATACAACAATAGATGACATTAAGGGCCGATTATTGAAAATTCTCTTCTTGGATCCTCTAGAGGTTTTAGAAGCAGCCTCTAAAGTCTTGTTTGAGTTGAAAGATGAAACGCTCACTGAGTCATGTTTATGTAGTGTTTCCTGCATATATACATGGGGGTGGAAAGAAAAACATGTACAATTCACATATAAAATACAGTTATATTTCGATCTTTGTGAAAATAAACTAAGGATGGCATATCATTGGCATTTAATGTTGAAATTTTAGAGTAGGCAACAAAGACCTACCGGTAACCAAAATGTGGAAATGGTCACAAGTAATGCAAACATAGAAATGCACAAGCAAGGCAAAAGGTAGGGAAATCTGGAAAACAAAGATATACATGCATATCTTACACTGCTTTATACGAAGTACATAATGATCATACAAAATATTGCATGAAGTAAAAACAAGATAATAGTAAATACCTTCTGAATAATGAGTCCATTGAGAAGAACGAAGGATACTTCTCTGCAGGCTTTGTTAGAAAATATACATAAAAGTTCGATCAAAATGGACTATATTAGATTCGTTAAGAGGCATGAAATGTGAAACGTGAAACGTGATACGTGAAATGCTAGAATTGGTAAAAAAAATACGGTATATTAAAAATAAGATGGAATGTGTAAATATTAAAAAAAAAAATAGTTTCTCCATTCTTTTTTAGTTGCACTGTTTCTTTTTTCACGTTGACCAGTGCACAACTTTGACCACTGATATATGCTATAACGTATTTGTAAAAAGAGATCAAAGTACAACTTCATTGTCGCTCAATAAATAAAAAGAGATCAAAGTACAACTTCATTTAGGCTCACTCTGTTCCAAATTTCATTTAGGACCGAAGAAGACATTGGTACTTCAATAATTTCTATTTAGGCTTAGTCGCTATCTATAGAGTGTGATTGAAGTCCAATGTACATTCTACTACTTAATTGTCTGGCCGGTGTTGAAGGCCCTCACGAATTAAATGGGGTCATCGGGGGTGTCATCCTTCTTTTGTTAATGTATACATGTTTTTTTAGAAAAAAGTGTGAAAAAGATGCATTTGTTGGACCCGTTTTTAGATAGAAGATTATGTTTCATTTCTTAACAAAGTAAGTTATGTTTCAATTCCGTTATTATACAAGAGAAGTTTGATATCTAACGCCGTTAGAAATCGTCGATGAAGATTATCAATAATGACTCTAAGGCTATGTTTGACACACAAAAGACTCTAGCTTCTAGCTTCTCTATTCTTTAAAAAGACCTTAAAAGACTTTAGTTGTATGTTTGGCATGACATTTTTTAAGAGCTTTTCAAAAATTAAAAGATCTTTTTTGAGATGTTACCGGGTGTAGCATCTGAGAAAAGCTCGTGACTTTTAGTATTAATTAGTCCTAACAGCTTGTATACCAAACCGAACTAAATCAAATAATCAGCTTTTTACCAAACAGCTATCACCTTTTATTTTAAAGATCTTTTCAGTCACTAAAAGCTAACAGTTACTAAAAAGCTCGTAAAAGTATCTTTTTAGCTAGTTGTGCCAAACATACCCAAAGTTTTCTAAAGTGCCCGGAAAAAATAAAATAAAAAATACCAGCGAGTATTGTTGTACAATAATATTCACCTGTGCAAGAAAACCTCCCAAAGCGGGGCCAATGATTAAGCCCATACCCCATGCTGTGCTAACCTGAAAGAATAAATGACGTATTGTTGACGAGGTCTATTAGTGACTTACAGTCACCCCTTCCTTGCTTGCCATGTGATATTGTGATATGTAAATGACTTCGTATTATTTTCAAATTGTTATACGTAATTTTTTTATGATCCCAAGTATGTGAAAACAAAGTTCTGTAAAATGTGATGTGCAAATATGACGTATAAAAAAAGAATGTGATGTGCAAATATGACGTATAAAAAAAAGGAGAAAAGGGTCAAATAAGGCTTCTACTATTATGAAACCATCACATGAAGTCATGTATTCAATACTATGTCATATAAATACGTTATACGTCTACTTATAAAAAGCAATCGGATGAGTCCTAACGACCTGTTAACAATCTCATAATCCTGATTTTAGCGCACGTCTGGCTATCTTTTTTGAATTAATTATATGGCTAGCAAGAAATATTTGGTCATGATTGATTTAAATACAAGGCAAAAATAACGACACATAAGTTAAAATCGGGATTAAGAGGTTGTCAGTGGGTTGTTTTGACTCACCCGATTGTTTTTTATAAGTAGACGCATTTATATGATACTTAATCGAATACATGACCTTATGTGACAATTACGTAATAGTACAAAGCTTTATTTGACCATTTTCCCATAAAAAACACATGAAAACTAGTACCCATAAGTTTTGCACCAAATTGTACGAAGTATACAAATTGTAGGACTACTGGACTAACCATATCGATTTTGTTAATGGAATTATCGATTTCCTTCTAATAAATGAAAGGTTTGTTAATAGGAAAAATTGAAAATAATAATCTCAACTATTGCCGGTCCGCTGATAATAATCCCAACTATTGATTATTTTTGTATAATCCCAACTATATGGATCGTCCGCCAATAATGGTCCATGGTCAGATATTACCTCCTATAAAAAGTGAATTTTAAATAGAAATTAAGTGTAAAAATTAAAAGTTGAGATTATTTATGGGTTTTTTACGAGAATATTACTAAAATAAAACTTATTTACATAAATATGACTATTCATTACTACAACGTAGTGCTGTGGTAACTAAAGTTCAAAACTTGAACATAAATTACTATGATTTCATTACTACTCTAGTAATGAATCATATTTTTGTAAACCATCTTTATTTTGGTCATATTTATGTAATTATTTCATTATTTATAGGGATTACTTGCTATATCACTCCTCATCCACTTTAGAAACTATATAAATTTATTTATAGTGACCACTATTGGCGGAAGGTCCCTAAAGTTGGGATTATTCTGAAATAATCGATAGTTGGGATTATTATGAGCGGATCGCCAATAGTTGGGATTATTACTATCAATTTTTCCTTGTTAATATACTTCTAACCCACCTTAATGTGTAGTCACCCTTATACCCACCACTTCTGTGAGATATGGAGTAATATTTTTTTTGGTGTGTGAATTCTATTCATAGACAAAGTTGACATAATTTTTATAGACAAAAACATGTCTGTTTTGTTTGTAACAGGGTTAGGTACAAGTGTATACGAGTGAGTATAAGAGGGTGGGTGCAAACAACATTTTTACTTCTTATTTCCCTATAATAAAAGGCCCCAAGACCTAAGTTAATTAACTTACCGAAGATAGTCCCAATGATTGATATCGTTCCGGAAAGGCTTCTACTGCAAATGCCTTGGAAATTCAAATAATTAAAGTTAGGTGACCGTAGAGTATCAATGCAAAAACAAAAAAAAAAAAAAAACAAAAAAAAAACTATGTCATGTACGGAGTAGTGCTGACTGCCGAGTGTTTTACCTATTTTTTGCTAATTCTTTGAATTGACCATTTTGTAAATGATCATTTGTTTTTTATCCGTTTATTTGAAATAACAAACATGAGATATTAGATCTCGTTTGGTCATATTGGAGTCGGCTGAAATTACTGAAATGATTTAATTGACTAAATATGATGAACAGTGAAAAACAATATTTGAACTATATTTTATTAAATGATAAAAACATTTATACGAAAAAAGCTTATATAGTTTTTCAACAAAATACATAGTGCAAACAGAAAAGTAATTTCAACATTATTTATTAAATAAAAAATTCGATATTTGGTGAAAAACATTGATTGATAATGATAAGCCGGAAATAGAAACTATCAAATGGGCAATTACTTTGGTAAGCCGTGATTTTATTTAGAAAAATGTGGGATAAGATGAATTCCATACAAAATAACATATGCAAGTAAAAGTAATTAGAAGGGTACTTTGATTGGTCCAAGCAAACCATTTAAACTTCCAAGAAGAAATCGAGTAATGATTGCCATACAGAAGTTTACGCTAAAACCGAAAAGTGTATTGAAAATCACCCTGTTCACCATCAAATATAGCAAGATGGATAACAATTTGAGTTTAGATAACAACTAAAAAAAATTAGGCTAAAGAGTCAAATAGGTACATGAACTTACTTATAATGTTCAATTTGTCCCTTATATAGGAGGTTCTGCCTGGCCGTCGCCAATTGAGGCGGTTCCCGGTTGAATTTTTTGAACATCTTCTTCATTAAGTCTAGTTTACTCATACCAAATTTCAGCTAAAAATACAACCGGGAAGGAAGTCAAATGATTTTTTGAAGATAACTATGTAGTTAAAAAGCGCAGTACATTTTGGAAAATCATTTGACTGCCTTCCCGATTTAATTTTTAGCTGAAATTTGATATGGGTAAACTAGACTTAATGAAGAAGATGCTAAAAAAATTTCATCAAAAAATTCAACCGGGAACCGCCCCAATTGGCGACGGCCGGGCAGAACCTCCTATATAAGGGGCTAATTGAACACTTTAAGTTAGTTCATGTACCTATTTGACCCTTTAGCCAAAAAATTAATTGAACCATAGAAAATGAGTAGAGGAACTGAGGAAGTAAGAAACATTACACAGAGATTGTGCTGAATATAAAAACCGGTTTTCTGCCATATCTATCGGCTAACATCCCCCAAAATAGAGATGTCATTGCCCTTCCAAGCATGAATGCGGATCCTTCACATATTTAATAAGACAATGGGTTCGCATTTCTATATAAAAACATGCAGCTTCTTCTCTTTTAATGAAAAAGCTATAGAATAAATGGGGTTTAATGCACCAAACCACACTTTGATATAGAAATTAGGTGTTAGTCCTTGTGATTTAGAAAATGCATCAAATCTCATTGTGTTATTATTAATCATGCGCAAAATCTGGTTCATGAACAAATTTAATTGTCAAATAAAAGAAAAATGACTAACATTTTTGTATAATTTAGAGATTTTGACAAATTTTCTTGCATTTCAATCATAATATTAAGAAAGAGTGATTTTTAAATTGTTAAATTATTCACAAAAAGGGTTCCGCGCATGATTTATTATAACAGAGGAGAGGGGTTTGACATATTTTTAAATGACATAGGGTAATGCAGTGCATTTGCATATCACGAAATGGCTTGGTGCATTAAACCCGAATAAATAATATATATTGTTGCTCCAAAATTTGGTACTCCGGGTACAATATATTACCTACATAACCTGCATAATAACCAATATCTTCTTCGGTCTCTGCAATTTTGAAATCTCTTATCTACAATTTTGAAATAGTATACAAATATAAATTTATATATATATGTATGTGTGTGTATGTATATATATATATATATGTGTGTGTGTGTGTCTCTGCAATTTTGAAATCTCTTATCCGTGAATTGAATATTTCAGATTATACAATAGAAATAAGAATTAAAAATCAGGAGAATGAAAGCAAAAAACTGATGACAGGACTATAATTCATATAAGGATTAAAAATCATGAGAAAGAAAACAAAAAACGATGACGCAATTATAATTAAATGTACTTTTTGTCACTATGTTAGAATGCTCACCCTCTTTCATTTGAGGTGTATACGAGCCGAATTTTTTAATGAAATTTTGTGAGCATACTTTCTATTAAGTGCAAATTATGTCCACCAAATTTCAGCTTAAAATTCATTTGGGAAAGTTAAATAAATTATTGAAAATTGTGCAACTGAATATATATACTTCCGCAGTTTTTTCAATAATTTATTTAACTGACTTTCCGCTTGATTTTTTAAGCTGAAATTTGGTGAAGATAATCTGCACTTCATATAGAACAAGCTCACAAAATATATCAAAAAGTTCGACCCAAAAGTAACTCAAATAAAATAGGTCTAAAATTGTAAATTTAAGAGAATGACATATGATGTTTTTCTTTAAGAGAAAATTATCGCTTACATATAAAGATGAACAAATTGTAGCTAAAGTTACTATAAATATACATACGTTCATGAATCATGATCATTGTTGTGTAAACTTAACATGAACACAGTCATTAAATATCCTATTATAGATTTATAGTAACTAAAAAATCATGTTAGGATATTATACTCCCTTTTTTAGAATGGCATCTCTCTTGAGTCTTGATCCATATTCATAGGGGTGGGAAAACCCGAACCGAAACCCGGAAACCGACCCTAGACCGACCCGAATTATGACCCCGGTCCGGGTTTTTTCTTTTTAACCGGCCCGAATTAAAAATACCCGGACTGAACCCGAAATTTCGGGCTCATTAACGGGCCTTAAAATCTATAACCCGGCCCGGACCGAAAAAACCCGAAACAATTAGCTTTAATATAAAATTAATATAATATATGAGTATAAATTTATAAATATTTCCTGATATATGATTATAATCACGGTGGATAAAAAAATCATTTAGTAACTTTTAGTGACTACAAATATGTTCAATTTGTTTAGCATAATGACCATGAAAAATAGATTTATAGGAACTCTATTCACATTTTTATCTATAAATTTTATTTCGAAATATTTTTAAGAAACCTATATTATTTATTTATATGCATCTTAAATAAAATATTAAGATAATTATCTTCTTTGGATTTGAATGTTGGTGATTTTGAAGACTAATATTTGTGTTATTATTTGCGGTTTGTATTTTTCACTAATTTTATTTGAAAATAGGTGTTAAAATATAAAAGAACAATGAGATAATTCACATTCGGGCTTTAACCGGCCCAACCCGAACCCGGACCGAACCCGGGCTACCAAAAACCCGACTCGGACCGAATATGACGGGCTTTGTTCCGGTCCCTAATTTTTATAACCCGAGACCTTCCGGGTAATTTCCGGGTTTAGCAAAAACCCGACCCAGACCGGACCGATCCCACCCCTACATATTCATGAATTCTAATTACTACGTACAACCTTTTAGACAAAAAGAACAGTAATAACCAAACACATCACTACAAGGGTAACCTTTTCAAGGGGGGAGCAAAAAACAATGACTTACCATGAAATATAGGAATGGAAAGAGAGATGATATTGGAAGTGCTGAAAAATTAAAGACCCAGTCAATAATAAGATATGAAGAAGAAACAGAGCTTGTATGAATTATGATAGGTTAACTTCATCCAATGCAATGGATATATAAATTTAATTAAAAGAAGATTAGAAGAATAAGATATGTAGAATAAGCATACAAGTGCAGAGAACAATTGTCCAAACGCGGATCAGCAATTTGACTGGAACCCCTCTTTGCAGCTGTCTCTGTTGCTCCACCTTACAACCTGGGCAGTTCTCATAGTACTGTTTCTCTTCTTTCTGCTCCAATAATGCTTCCTTATAGGACTCATCCCATCCACATTCATTCGCCATTTATCTCTGTCCTCAGTGGGTCGTGTTTGGGAGTCAGCAGAGATAGAACAATAGTTATAGAGCAGAGCAAATTATTAATTCCGTACTGACCACTTAGACTCCCTCAATGGATATATTTATGCTGCATTATTGGTTGACAACTGCATGTCTTAAATCCAATCTTTCTGTAGATCTTTATTACTCCGTATAAGCAATATCTCTGGATTTATTTTTTTTATAATCAATTGATTAATAGACCATTTGTTGCCTAGTTTTTTGATTTATTAGTCTTATCAATAAATTTTTTACCAAATATGTAACATTTTTCTTTGCACTGAGTTGTGTAACAATCATAACATGTAATGTTAGAGTTATTTTCTGATTAGATTGGTTGAAATTACTCTAAAAGACCATTTTAGTCACATCAATCAGAACTTCATAAATTTCAGTAGAATCACTCGATTTAGCCAATTTTAACCCCACTTAACCTGCAACTCGTATGGGTTGACACGTGAAACTCATGAATTAATTGGGTCAGAAAATGCTAACTCTATCCCACCAATAAATGGGTTGAAACGGGCTAACCCGCGAGTTTCGGCCCATCTTGAAGACTCTAAGTAGTAAGCACAACGTAATTCATATTTTAATTAATCCACCACATGCATGTTTACAATTTTACATACTACGTAATAAATAATACTACCTCACTCTCAAAATACTCAAGCATCTCTTCGAGTTTGGATCGTGATTTTAATTGATCTTCCCTTCATTCCTTATAGCTTTGCTAGCTGTCTTTTTTTTATTGTTCAACTAACTCTTTCACTTTCTTTGCACAAACTTCAACCTAATTTTTAACTTTATTATTCTACGTGTCAGTTAATTTTGGCACAGTTTTGAGCGACATGAGGGAGTATAATATAGGAAAAATTGAAAATAATAATCTCAACTATTACCGGTCATCTATTAAATATTCCAACTATTGATTATTCATGAGGTGGTCCCAACTATAGGGACCATTTTCCAAAGGGAAAAGTACCAAATCAGCTCTCAGATTAACATTGATAGTGCAAATCACCCCCTAAACTATAAAAACGTGCAATTAGGACCTCCAACTCGGTGATATAGTGCAAATTACCCCGGCCCTTAAATTAAAAAAAGTTGTGACCAAATTCTCCAACTCGGTGATAAAGTGCAAATGACTTTCCTAAGATTCATTTATTCGCCATAATATATCTCACTTAAACTTTTTATTGACTGCTTATAGAACGAGATTGAACATGCAATCTAATGAGATGCTCGTGTGTTTGCACGAATGACTAAAGACCCGCCGACGATAGCCCCCCCCCCCCCCCCCCGCCACTTAATGAAGGAAATGACTACCGACCAAGGAAGCGGGAGTTTCGAAGACTATGGATGTTTTTATTGGACTAAAATTTGTTGGTCTGGTTCGAACTGGTCTTGTCTTGTTTGGTAAATGTGTGGTCTATGTGTATTTTATAACTATGGAAATCTGATTTGGTCTCGTATGTTTAAGTCTGGTCTGATCTGTTTAAACTGGTTTGGGATTGAAAATAGTCCAAATAAAAACATCCTAGAAGATTTATGTAACCATTTTCTATTGTTGTTTAAATATTTTGTAAGTGTAGAAGTCAATTTTAAAATGGCATCATATAAGTATCATTACTTTAAAAAAATTATCAATTTGGCCATTTAATCATTTTTTGAACTCTAATAACATGTTTTTTATATTAAAAATAGTTCCTATCTACTTTTACATTTCTCCTATTTTTATATTATTATAACATTATTTTTAAAATTTATAGTCCGTATGATTTATCAATATCCCTAATTTAATTTTTAAAAAATAACCTGCTACAACACTTTAAAATGGCTTAATTGATTGTATTATAAAAGTAAGCATATTTAGATAACATTTTTTAGTAGAAGAACTTAAGTGATGGATTGAAAATAGTAGAAGGGTTTAAGTGATGGCGTAATTTAATTGACCATTTACCCTTTTTTAATAAATGACATACATAAGCTTTAACACATAAATTACCGCTTAGGATAGTCATTTGCACTATATTGCCGAGTTGGAGAATTTGATTACATTTTTTTTTAATTTAAGGGTGATTTGCATTATATCGCTGAGTTGAAGGTCCTGGTTGCACGTTTTTATAATTTAGGAGGTGATTTGCACTATTGATGATAGTTTGAGGGTTGATTTGGTACTTTTTCCTTTTCCAAAAATAGTCTCTAGCCTGCAAAGTAAGAGACAATTTTTGGAAAATGGTCCCTATAGTTGGGTTCATCCAGAATAATCGATAGTTAAAATTATTAATAACGGACCAATAATAGTTGGAATTATTATTTTCAATTTTTTCTATAATATATAAAGGTTAGGGAAGTACTACGTATAATTTTTACTCGATACGGGTTTTTTACAAGAATATTACTAAAATAAAACTTATTTACATAAATATGACTATTCATTACTACAACGTAGTGTTGTGGTAACTTAAGTTCAAATCTTGAACATGAATTACTACAATTTCATTACTACCCTAATAACTAGTTATATTTTTGTAAAACATCTTTATTTTGGTAATTAGTATTCGAAAAAAGAAAAGGTAAACTTGAGCTGGTCGATGTTGATGGGAACAGGGATATTAATTATTTTGGTCGAGGCCTCGAGGGCCAGCTCCCCCACGACCTCCCCCAGGCCCCAAAACTATTGTCGTTTCACTATAAATAGAAAAGTACAGTCATTCGAAGTTAATGCTAGTAGCATCAGCAGATATGGATAATCACTTATCTCCAATCGTCATTTAAAGAGAATCTTTGGTATGATTAATGCTAGCATGTAGCTTCGGCTCACCACGAGCCAGACATAAATCACTACCTTCTATTTTATTATTTTTTAATTATGGGGATGTTTGGAAAAAGAGGTTCCGCCACAAAAATGACGGTTTGGTAAATAAATGAAAACGATGTTTGGTAAATAGCTTCTTAGCTTTAGGATGTTTTCTTTTGGACTGAAATTTGCTGGTCTGGTCTGAGACTGAAAACAGTCCAAAAGAAAACATCCTTAGTGTTTTTTGACGGAATCGCTGAAATGAAAATGCTATAAATAGGAGAGATTTGAGTTAGTGTTTTGAAAATTGACATTTTCTACTAATTTTATGGTCAAACAGCTAAATTACCAAAAATCTTTTGGCAACCCGTCAACTTATTCCGCTAGTTAAACCCGCTGTGTGAATCCTCTATTTACAATCCATACAACCCACTAACACAACCCTATCTAAAAGGTCTTTATAAAGTTTCTAGTTGTATATCTCTGGCATGCCAAGTTTTAAGAGGTTTTAAAAAATAAAATATTTTTTTGATAGGCTAAATGGTCAAATAGGCCCTTGAACTGACTTAAAGTGTCCAATTAGCCCCTTATATAAGAGGTTCTGCCCGGCCGTCGCCGATTGGGCCGGTTCCCAGTGGAATTTTTTGATGACATATTTTGAGCATCTTCTTCATTCAGTCTAGTTTACTCATACCAAATTTCAGCTAAAAATTCAACCGGGAAAGCAGTCAAATGATTTTTTGAAGATAACTGCGAAGTTAAACAACGCAGTACATTTCGGAAAATCATTTCACTGCCTTTCCGGTTGAATTTTTAGCTGAAATTTGGTATGGGTAAACTAGACTTAATGAAGAAGATGCTCAAAAAATTTCATCAAAAAATTCCACCTGGAACCACCCCAATTAGTGACGGCCGAGCAGAACCTGCTATATAAGAGGCTAATTGAACACTTTAAGTAAGTTCAAGGGTCTATTTGACCCTTTAGCCTTTTTTGATATGCTAAAGTGAGTAGTACGTGAGAAAAGTTTGTAACTTTTAGTACTTCGTATTAATTATTTATAAGTTTCTGAAAGCTTGTATACAAACAGTACTAAATCAAATAGTCAGCTTCTTATCAAACAGATACTACATTTTAAGATTTTTTCAATCATTAAAAGTTAACATTTACTGAAAAGCTTTCACAAGTACATTTTCAGCTAGTTGTGCGGCTTGTGCCAAATAATTCTCATGTATATGTTTCGTTCCTATGTCTTTTTTGAATGTTTTATTATCTTTTTTCAACTCTTTATCTAATCTATTTATTATTAATAAAGATGATGCGAGTAGATAACTTAATTGTACGTTGATTTAGATAGCACAAAGTGATGCACTAATTCACAACAGTTAGACCGCAAGAGAATACAAGCAAGCGTAGTGTATGTACTGTATATACGAAGTAATTTTCATTCGATTACACTTCCTAGCTAAAGCATGGTCAATAATGGGAAATTTTATGGAGCCCTATATGACTGCATTATGGAGTCATATAGCATATGTGGCACCATCACAATCATTCATTTATGAAGTAGGGCCCTCCACAATAAATCCATTATAGAAATGAATGGTTGTGATAATGTCACATGTGTTATATGACTCCATAGTGGAGTCATATAGGGCTCCATAAAATTTTTGGGTCAATAACTCCTTCACCAAGTTGCTTTTCGGGCAAAAATCTGTAATGGCTATTCCGGCAGAATTTCTCTCTTACCTTGAATCTTAGTTTGACATGTTCATGGCTGTTTGGATTTGATTTATAAAATTGCTTCTGCTTCTTCAGAGAAGAGAAGCAGAATCAATTTACTCCTAATATCAATTTTGAAGTGCTTGGGTGCCCTAATTTACTCCTAAAATCAATTTTTTAGAAGTTGGGGTAGATAAACTTCTGAAAACTGATTCTGATTCTGCTTTTGTTTTTAAAAAATAAGCACCGAATCAATTTGAAACACCCCCGTAATAAACAATAGTGTCAGTAACTCGACTAGTCTCCACAATAATTTTTTGTCTGTCAAGATTTTACCGATATTGTGTTTCATATGATAATTACGGGATTATATTTAGATATTTATACTATTTTTATTTAGTAACTAGTGTTTTACCCGAGCGTTGCCCCGGATTAAGATTGTGAGTGTTTGAATACTTTGCAAGATATATATTTTATAGAATATATAAATAACTAATCATTTTATTTCAAATAAACTTTTGTTGATTGTGAATAGTAATTTAATTAAAAAATATATATATATTAAAAAGTGACATTGTAATGTAATACTGCACGTACCAAACATCGCATTGTTA